GGAGCATTTTCATATAATGTGGATGAATTAATTGCACAGATGAAACGGGTATAATATGTTCAGAATTATGGAGACCTGGCTGCAGGGTGACCAGGAGTGGATGAACATCTAGGGGTATTCAATATTTAGGAAGGGCAGACTGGGAGCAGACAGCTTGGGGCGGCCAGCAGCATGACCAAGAGCAAGCAGCCTGGGGCGGGGGCAAATGCAAGCAGGAGAAGTTGAGCCCCAATGAGCAGTCAGAGTTCAGTCCACTTATGGACTGTGGTGTTGAACTGTTAACTGTTGCTTTGTTTTCCTGCTGATTAGAACATAAGAACTAGGAGCAGGAGTAGGCCGTCTGGCTCTTCGAGCCTGCTCCGCCATTCAATAAGATCATGGCTGATCCTTTCGTGAACTCGGATCCACTTACCCGCGTTCTCACCGTATCCCTTAATTCCTTTATTGTTCAAAAAAAATCTACTTTTTTTAAAAGCGTTTACTGAAGTAGCATCAACTACTTCACTGGGCAAGGAATTCCATAGATTAACAACCCTCTGGGTGAAGAAATTCCTTCTCAGTTCAGTCCTAAATCTGCTCCCTCTAATCTTGAGGCTATGCCCTCTTGTCCTAGCTTCACCTGCCAGTGGAAGCATCCTCTCTACTTCTATCTTGTCTATTCCCTTCATAATTTTATATGTTTCTATAAGATCCCCCCTCAATCTTCTGAATTCCAATGAATATAATCCCAATCTACTCAATCTCTCCTCATAAGCCAACTCCCTCAACTCCGGAATCAACCTAGTGAACCTCCTTTGCACCCCCTCCAGTGCCAATACATCCTTTCTCAAGTAAGGAGACCAGAACTGCGCACAGTACTCCAGGTGTGGCCTCACCAGCACCTTGTACAGCTGCAACATAACCTCTCTGCTTTTTATTTCAATCCCTTTAGCAATGAAGGACAAAATTCCATTTGCCTTCCTAATTACTTGTTGTACCTGCAGACCTACCTTCTGTGATTCATGCACAAGGACACCCAGGTCCCTCTGCATAGCAGCATGCTGCAACTTTTTACCATTTAAGTAATAATCCTTTTTACTATTACTCCTACCAAAATGTATGATTTCACATTTATTTACATTGTATTCCATCTGCCAGACCTTTGCCCACTCACACAATGTATCTATGTACCTCTGCAAAGTTTCACAGTCCTCTGCACACTTTGCTTTGCCACTCATCTTAGTGTCATCTGCAAACTTTGACACCCTACACGTGGTCCCCAGCTCCAAATCATCTATATAAATTGTAAATAATTGCAGTCCCAACACCGATCCCTGAGGCACACCACTAGTCACTGACTGCCAGCTAGAATAGCACTCATTTATCCCCACTCTTTGCTTCCTGTTAGTCAACCAATCCTCTATCCATGTTAATACTTTACCCTTAATGCCATGCATCCTTATCTTATGCCGTAGCCTCTTGTGCGGCACCTTGTCAAAGGTCTTTTGGAAGTCTAGGTACACCACATCCACTGGGTCCCCATTGTCCACCTTGCTCCTAATGTCTTCATAGAATTCCAAAAGATTTGTCAAGCATGACCTGCCCTTCATGAACCCATGCTGCGTCTGCCCAACGGGACAATTTCTATCAAGATGCCTTGCTATTTCTTCCTTGATAATAGACTCAAGCACCTTCCCCACTACAGAGGTTAAGCTAACCGGTCTATAATTCCCCATCTTTTGTCTTCTTCCCTTTTTAAACAGTGGCGTCACATTTGCTGTTTTCCAATCTGCGGGGACTGCCCCAGAGTCCAGCGAATTTTAGAAAAATTCGTAAGAAGGACTGTGATGTTTAACTTTTTAACTTTGTTTTCCTTATTTGTCTGCTTTCTGTTCAGTAAGATTCTATACCTAGGTACCTTTGTATCTAAGATGGCGCTGTAAGTGGCAACTTGTAAACTTTTCACTGTACTCATGTGAACATGTGACAATAAACCTAACTCGCCTCAAAAAAAAAGAAAGGGTGGTGATGGAGCTATGTTATTGGTTAAAGTGGAAATGATGCAATAGTGAAGATGGATATTAGCTCTGATGTGAAATCTGTATGGGTATCTATATGAGAAAAATGAAGGGGCAAAAAAATTAGTGGGAATTGTATATAAACCCTGAACTCTTGAAAATGTTGCCAATAGCAATAATTAGGAAATTAGAGGCATGCAACAAAGGAACATCTGTAAATTATGCGTGACTTTAGTCTGCATATAGATTGGGTAAATGAAATGAGTAACAGTACCGCAGAGGAGGAATTGCTGGAGTGTACACAGGATGGTTTTCTGGACCAATGTATTGAGAACAGGCCATCCTAACCAGTTGTGTAATGTGATATAATGTAAAAAGAAATAATTGGCAATCCACAGTCCCCTGGAGAAACATGGGTGTGGCAACTTGCGTTGAGAGAAAATTCATTTCTTTGCACTGTTTTTGCTTCAGATTTCAAGCATTCTCAGTTCTTTGTGTTGATGTTAGTTGGCAGTCTAGTTGAGATGCCTTGAAATGAGCAACTATAATATGATAGAAATCTTCTTCATAATGGAACATATATAGTTGATTCTAGGCTAGGGTCCTGAATCTAAATAGAGGAAACTGTGATGGTATGAGGGCAGTATAAAAACTGACCATAGAAGTTCCTATAGCTTTGTGAAGCTAAAAATTAAGGACAACTGCATGGTGCCTTACAGTCAACCTTACAGGAAACTAAAATGAAGAGCAAAGAAATGGCTCACCAACAAAAAACATAGTCATGGACTGCTGGAAAATCTCAGCACGTCTGGCAGCATCTGTGGAGAGAAAACAGAATTAACACTTCGGACCCAGTGACCCTTCTTCAAAATTTAGTCATCAACTAAATTTTGTATTTTTTTAATACTCTCAAAGGAGGACAAAAATAACATTCCAAAAATGTTGGGGACACAGGGTTTAGTCAGAAGGAGGAACTGAAGGAAATTAATGAGTAGGAATTGATGGGTGGGAAGGCTGATAAATCCCCAGGCCCTGATGGTCTACATCCCAGAGTACTTAAGGAAGTGGTTCTAGAAATAGTGAATACATTGGTTATCATCATCAAGATTCCATAGACTCAGGTACTGTTCCTATAGATTAAAGCTAATGAAGCCCTTCTGTTTACAAAGGGAGGCAAAGAGAAAACTGGGATTATAGAACAGTCAGTCTGACATGCGTAGTGGGGAAAATGCTGGAATCCATTATAAAAGATATAGTAGCTCAGCACTTGGAAAACAATAAACAGGATTGGACAGAGTCAGATTGGATTTTCAAAAGGGAAACAAATCTCCTGGAATTCTTGGAGGAAACTTTGAGTTGATCAAGGGAGTCAGTGGATGTCATTTATTTTGGGCTTTCAGACAGCTTTCAACAGGGTCTCACATAAGAGATTAGCATGTAAAACTGAAGCACATGAGATTGGGGTAATCTATTGAGATTGATAGAAAATGGGAAATAGGGTAGGAATAAACAATTTCCAAATGCAGGCAGTGACTAGTGGGGTACTGCAAGGATCAGTGCTAGACCCCGGTTATTCACAATATATAATAATGATTTAAATGGGGGAGCTAAATGTAATACTTTCAAATTTGCAGATAACACAAAGCTGGATGGGGGAGTTAGCTGTGAGGAGGATGCAGAGATGATTGTGAGATTTGGACAAGCTGAGCGAGTGGGCAAATGCATGGCAGATGCAGTACAATGTGGATGTGTTATCAAATTTGGTAGACAAACAGGAAGGCAGGTTATCATCTGGCTATATGTTGAAAGAGGGAAAGGCGCCACTAGACCTGGATGTCCTCATACTGGTCACTGAAGATAAGTGCCCAGGTGTAATGGGCAATAAAGAAGGCAAGTGACAAGTTGGCCTTTGTAGGGAGAGGATTAGCATGCACGTGTAGGTATATTTTGCTGCAATTGGACAATGCCTTTATGACACCACACCTGGAATATTGTGTACAGTTTTGGGTATCTTACCTAAGGAAGAGTGCTGTTACTACAGAGGGATTCCTGAGATGGTGAGACTGGTGTATGAGGAGAGGTTAAATTGGGAATCTGTTTTGCTGGAGTTTAGAGGAAAGAAGGGGATCTCGCAGACACCCATAAAATTCTAACAAGACTAGACGGTAGTTTGCAGAAATGGTGTTCCTAATGACTGGGGAAGAAGCAGGGCTGTCTGTCTAAGGATATGGGGTAAGCCGTTTAGGACTGCAATGAGAAATTTTCTTCACCCAGAGTTTGATCCTATGGAATTCACGACCACAGCAGTTGAATCCAAAACATTGTGAGATTTTGGGAAGGAGTTGGGTATGACACTTGTGACTAAAGGGATGAAAAAAAAATGGGGAAAAGATGGAAACAGGCTATTTTGTGGATGATCAGCCGTACTAATGAATGGTGAAGCAGGTTTGAAGGGCAGAATGGCCCACTCCTACTTTGTTTCTAGAGAAACCCGGCAGGTTTGGCAGCATTTGTGGGAGAAAACAGTTAACATTTCGAGTCCAGTGACCCCAAAGAAGGGTTACTGCACTCAATGTTAAGTTTTCTCTCTACAGATATTGCCAGACCTGAGATTCTCCAGCAATTTGCTTGTGTTTGATTCAGGTCTCCAGCATCTGCTGAGGTAGACAACTGGAAAGACAATATGTAGAATAGTTCAGTTTTTCTACCTTCTTGTGGTACTGCAAGTTGAACCTCAAATCTTGGACGCAACTGAAAATTTGCCGATTTCTGTTGCGCAGATAAATCGAACCTCCAAACCCAGGTGTTTTCACCTTCAAAATAAATCAACTGTGTACTCTAGTGACAAGGTGTTGAAACTGAAACAGTTGCCAAAATGTGTAAGAGAAGCTGCTTTTGGCAGCTGCACTTTTCTTGATTCGGTAAGTTGGGTATGTCATACTATGTATAGTGGAGGCTTTTTTATTTGCAATCCTGGTGTAACCTTGTGCTGTTTATCTACAGATGACAGACCCAGGTCAAGATCTTCTACTTGCTGCTTTGAGTGAAAGTGGAATTAGCCCTAATGACCTCTTTGATGCGGATCCACTCGACACTAGCTTGATGTCACCTCTGCCATCCAGTGGCGTACCACAGGTAAAAGTGGTTTTTGATCATTTATTTGGTATCTGCATTAATTTTAGTCCACAGTTTTCTTGTTTATCTTGGGCATATTTTGTAATTTGTGCTATTCTATATTGCATCTTTATCAACAATATATATTCATTAAATAGAAGGGGAAGCTAGGATTGATATGGTGTTTGTGTATCTTCGGCCCATAGTTTGCTGAAATCCTGAATGTGTATTTTAACAAAACATTCTGTTCCAAGTATGGGGTCATGTTATCTCCAAGAAACTGCCGATAGTTCAGTTTTGGCTTTTAAAAAGCAATTGGGTCATTCGTTTCATTCTTGTATGGGATGAGCGTTGCTGGCTAGGATGGCATTTTTTTCGCATGTGCCTCGTGCCCTTGAACTGATTTAATTCTCTAGGCTATTTGAGGATGGTTTTATTTAAAACCTTTACATGCTAAGTAAAATAGTAGAATAATATAGTAGTGGAATGCCATTGTGATTTTATGCGTTTAGGAGTGGGGCTGAATTTAGTCATAGAGAATGTCCGTTCTTAAAGAATGCAATCTAATATTTCAAACAGTTTTCCCAACTCTGGTCAATATCCACCAGTTCTTTAGTACTTGACAGGGAACAGGACAATTTTCTGCAGTGAAATCAGAGCCTGGGACTCAAGTGAGCATGACGATATTTGCTGTGCGGCAATGTTTCATCCTAAAGGTCGGTTGATATGTTGAGGTTGGGTAGTATTTTTCACTGCTCATTATTTGTAACAATAGTTTTTTGTGTGAATACAATTTTGCAAAATACTTCGGAAATGTTATAATGTTGGATAGCAACAACACAGTGCTTCTAAAATGGCTAGCAGTTTAGTCAAAAAGAGGTTTTAAAGAGCTTCTTAAAATGAGGAAGAAGTGGAGGGATTTAGAGAGCTCAGAACCTTAGTTGCTGAAGGCATGGCCATCAAAGCTGGAGCATCAGAAAGGAGGGATGGTCAGAGTTTATAATTAGAGGAGCACAAATATGTTGGATAAAAACAAAAGAACTGTGGATACTGTAAATCAGGAACAAAAACAGAATTTGCTGGAAAAGCTCAGCAGGTCTGGCAGCATCTGTGAAGGAAAACCAGAGTTAACATTTCGGAACTGGCGAAGATGCAACACCTGCCCATTTGCTCCTCCCTCCCCAGTATCCAAGGGCCCAAGCATACCTTCCAGGTAAAGCAACACTTCACCTGCACTTCCCAGAATCTCGTCTGCCGCCTTCGCTGCTCACAACGTGGTCTCCTCTACAATGGGAAACGAAGCATAGACTGGGTGACCACTCCTCAAAACATCTGCGTTCTGCTCCCAGAAAAGACCCTGGGCGTACATTTGCCTGCCAGTTTAACTCGCCATCCTGTTCCCTGGCCAACATCTGTTTCTGGCTTGCTGCAGTGTTCCAGTGAGGCTCAGTGCCAGCTGGAAGAACAACACTTCATTTTCCGCTTGGGAGCCCTGCAGCCCTCCAGACTCAATATCGAGTTCGATAACTTTAGGGCCTAAACTTTCCCATGGCCTAGCCCCCTACCCCACACACCAGGCCTTGTTATCACATAGCCTGCCATTACGCACTACCTATTGTTAGTCACTAACAGTCCCCATTAACAGCTATTCACCCTCCTAGCCAGATCATCTATCCAACTACTCCTCTCTCTCTTCAGGCTCTGTCCTTTATCCTAATGTTTATTCCTTACCCCATCCTGCTTCCTATTTTCTGCGTATAAACTGATGTTTTCTCAGCTACCATCAGTTCTGAGGAAGGATCACCGGACCTGAAACAGTAACTCTGATTTTTTTTTCTTCACAGATGCTGACAGACCTGCTGAGTGTTTCCAGCAACTTCTGCAGATGTGTTGGACCCTGGTAGAACTAGGAGGTTACAGTCAGAAAAGAGCAAAGCAATAAAGGATGGTGAAAGCAAGGATGCAGATTTTAAAATTAAAGCATTGTTGAACCACAGACTAGTGTAGATCAATAAACGTGGGCAATGAGTGAACAAGATTTGGTGTGAATCAGGACATGGTCAGAGTTTTAGTTGACCTTGGTTCATGGAAGGGAGAAGGTGGGAGTGATTGTCTTTGTTACCACAATACTTAATGAGAATTTAGTGAATGAATTGAGGCAAGGTTGGAGTGGATAGATATTATTAAATTGGAAAGGGTGCGGAAAAGATTTACAAGGATGTTACTGGGACTGGAGGGTTTGAGTTACAAGGAGAGGCTGGAAAAGCTAGGATTTCCCCTGGAGCGTAGGAGGTTGATGGATGAGCGCACAAAGGTTTATAAAATCATGAGAGGCATCGATAAGGTGAATAGCAAAGGTTTTTTCCTGAGAGAAGGGGAGTTCAAAACTGGAGGGCATAATATTAAAGTGAGAGGAAAAAGATTTAAAGGTGGCAACTTTTTCACACAGGGTGGTTTGTAGATGGAATTAAGTGCCAGAGGAAGTGGTAGATGCAGGTACAGTTATAACATTGAAAAAACATTTGGGCAGGTACATGAAATGGGAAAGGTTTAGAGGGATATGAGTCAAGTTCGGGCAAATGGGACGAGTTTACTTTGGGAGACGTGATTGGCATGGACAAGTTGGACCTCGGACTATTTCCGTGCTGTGTGCCTCTGACTCTGAAATGACATTTCAGAGGTTGAAATAGGCAGTATGGTGAAGGCACAAATATGTAGTTGGTTACATGAGTCATGGTTCAATATGACACGGATGGACTAGGGTAAAGAAGGGAAGTAACAGATTAAGGTCTTCATATGTGAGTCCATAAATTTGAGGGTGCGATTGGTGGAAATTGAGAAGTTTAAGGAGGCTGCCTGCTGGAGAGAAGAGAAAATGAGGTTGACCTTACATGCAAGAATTATGTTGGCATAGTGAACTGATTTCACAGGGGAGAGCATGTCTTGATAACATGGGTGCTAAAATAAAACAAAGAACTGCAATACTGGGGAAATCTGAAATTAGGACAGCACACTGCTGCCTCATGACACCGGGATCCTGCGTTCGATTCCACTCTCGGGCGATTGACTGTGTGGAGTTTGCACGTTCTCCCTGTGTCTGCATGGATTTGCACCCTGATGCACCGGTTTCTGGAGGAAAGGAGGGTGGGTCTGGGTAGGATGCTGTTTGGAGGGTCAGTGTGGAATTGATGGACCAAATGGCCTATTTCCCCCATTGGAGGGATTCTGTGATTTGTTTTTCTTTATTTATTCTTGGGATGAGGGAGTCACTGGCTAGGCAGCATTTATTGCCCATCCCTAATTGCCCAGAGGGCTGTTAAGAGTCAACCACATTGCTGTGGGTTTGGAGTCACATGTAGCCAGACCAGGTAAGGATGGCAGTTTCCTTCCCTACAGGACATTAGTGGATTTTCCCGACAATCAGCAATGGATTCGTGGTCATCGTTAGACTCTTAATTCCAGATATTTTATTGAATTCAAATTCCATCATCTGCCATGGCCCCCAGAAAGTTATCTAGGTCTCTGGATAAACAGTCCAGTGATAATACCATTACTCGTCACCTCCTGTTATTCTGTGATAAAACAAATTACGAGAGAAACTTGGCAAGTTTGGCAGCATTTGTGGAGATGAAATGGAATTAATGTTTCAAGTCCAGTGTGATTTTTAATTACTGTGATGTTTGGATTTGTTAACTTGAATTTGAAGTCGTGTTGACATTTAACACAACATCCATGCTACTTGAACTTTTTGATGATGTGACCCTCAATTACTAAGTTTTGCTCATGAGTTCTGGACATCCTGAACAATTTTAGGTGAATCATTTGTAGCAAAAGCATCAGTCTATCTATAGCTGTTAGAATCCCACTAACAACAATAAAATACATTGCTAAATAAACACCTTAGTGTTGGGTGAGATTAGCCAGATGAACAGAAGGAAAGACTCTGCAACTTTTCAAATTTCTTGGTGCCCTTTACATCCACTTTGAAATGGCAGATTCAGTTGTGTTCACCTTCTAGCACAGACTATGACATATCAGACAGTGCACTCCTCCGGTTTCCCCCTGCCTCCTCCCCACAACACAGACGTGTGCACGCACAGGCACAGACACACGAAATGGGTGATTCAATGTAAATAGTGAAATAGTTTTTTGTAAAACACAAAGTAGTTTGGCATTCTCCAATCTTAATCACTTCAAATTATCTTCTGCACTTCAGTGTTTGAGGCTGGAACCCTGTTCTGTTGTGTTTACACAATATGCAACACCCATATCTAAAATGATGCTATTCCCAAGTGAAAAGGACATTGAGCAGGCTTTGTGCCCTGTTTGTGATCAGCAGCTCTAGCTAGAGAAGCTGTTCTTTTTTCGAGGAATGAAATTGGAGACAGTGCCAACAGGTATTCATTAATAAGGTGCTAAAACTTTATGCAGATGCTTTGTGAAACCTGCTCTGATTATTTCAATCACAGCATGTTTTTCAGAAATGGCATTGGGCTACAATAAATCTAAGATAACAAGGTGTAGAGCTGGATGACCACAGCAGGCCAAGCAGCATCAGAGGAGCAGGAAAGCTGACATTTTGGGCCTGGACCCTTCTTCAGAAAATCTACATCTGTATACAAAATATGTAATGCCATGCTTGAACTTCTGTACTCTTGTAACAATAATCATACTCTGTTCCAGTACAAATTGTGAGAGAAGCTTTAGAGGGAGGTGCGTGGCGGGGGTGTGGCTGGGGGGGTTTCCTTGAATGGAAACATTTTGCTGTTGAAAAGGTGGTGGGCAAGAGGCCGAGAAGGATTGGTCAGTGATTGGTTAAGGGAGATTAAAGATCAAAGGCATTTTAGAACAAAAGACAAAGACCATATTAATGGTTGCACTGAAGACTGGACATAATCCAGATTAGGTGATAATGACAATGAGTGAGCTCTGACTGAGAAATTGCATGAAAAATGAGATGTGGATACTAAGAAGAGGGAACATCAAAACTGAGGCTAGAGTTAATGGTTTGAAGGCCATGA